GTATCGCAGCAGTCCTGTCACAAGACGGACACATAATCGCGTGTGCAAGCCGATCGTTAAGTAAAGAAGAACGAAACTATACGGTGACGGAATGGGAATGTCTCGCAGTAGTGTATGGCACTTTAAAGTTTCGGCACTTTCTTGAATATACAAAGTTCACAGTAAAAACCGACCATCAAGCGTTAACCAGTTTGCTTAAACACAGAGGACCAAATAAGCGCCTAACGCGCTGGGCGTTAGCATTGGAAGCCTTTGATATGGCTATAGAATATCGAAAAGGCAGCCAGAACAAAAATGCGGATACGTTAAGTAGACATCCGGTCGATACGAACCCGTTCATAGAACCAGACCCTGTTATGGTCTATGTTAACATAACCGACACGTTGGATGCGGTTCAGCTCAGACGAGAACAAGAAGCCGACAAGACGGTGTACCAAATAATTCGCGAACTGGAGCGCGAAGACCATTTAAACGTACCTTCTAAAATAACTAAGCATTACATGCTTCTGGATCACGTCCTGTACCGGGTACAACGGCAGAAAGACAAACACCATACTTGTTTTGTGGTACCGGTCCAAATGCGCGAGGAGGTGCTGAAGGCGTGCCATGACACGCCCGTTTCAGCCCATATGGGCTTCGCTAAGACTTGGGACTTAATCGCGCAGCGGTTTTATTGGAAGGGTATGCTAGCGGATGTTAAAGAGTATGTCACTAGCTGTCAAGATTGTCAAGCTCGCAAAATCCCGCGGCAGCCGCCTATAGGCTCACTGCAAACAATAGCAATCGAATCCCCATTCCACACAGTAGCTATGGACATCTTGGGCCCGCTGCCTACCACAAAGCTTCACGACAACAAATACGTTTGTGTAGTAGTGGACCTAACATCCCGATTTGTTATCGCCGGGGCATTACAACGTGACACAGCCATGGAAGTGGCAGAGTTTTTTTTAACCAAAGTGGTTTATGTTTTCGGAGCCCCTGTGCGGCTGTTAACGGACAGAGGTACTCATTTTTGCAACGAGTTGATCAGCAAGCTATCAGAATTGCTGGGTATAAAACATGTACGGACTACTGCCTACCACCCGCAGGGAAATGGCCTATGTGAAAGACAAATGGGCCCTATCGCGGAAGCACTGTCTTTGTTTGTGGATGCAAAACAGTCAGACTGGGACTGTTATTTAGCAGCAATTGTATTTGCTCATAACTCCACTGCGCAAGCCACAACTGGCTACAGCCCATTTTTTCTCATCTTTGGCAGAGAACCAACACTTCCGATCGATACATTATTCAATACGTGTAAAAGAAAAGGCTACGACAGCTTACCAGCGTACATCGAGGAATTGACGGCAACGCTAACAACCGCAATTGAAGTAGTTAAAGTGCGCACAGATACACAGCATAAAAGAGATGCTCATTACATCAACAATAAAAATCGAACGGTCAATTTTCAACCAGGAGATTTGGTTAGAGTAAGAGAATTTTCACGGAAAAAGGGATTGGCAGCGAAACTATCAATGAAGTTTAAACAACCATACGAGGTTATTCGACAAACATCAGAAAATGTTTATGAACTGAAACCATTGTTTGGCAAACGACGCATAGTTGATAAATATTCAGTGGCCAGAATGGAGCGGTTTATTCCTAGAACATCACCCGCTGAATCGGGCACGCACCAATCTGAGGCTCAAACGGACACTGGTCACCAAATTACGTCGTCGAACGCGACAAAGAAACCGCAGCCGAGTGAGTCACAGGGTCGAACAGCAACACGTTCGGGACGAATTACTAAAATTCCAGTACGGTTTGGCACAGCACTACCGTGTGCTAAGTTACAACAAAAGCGGAAGCGCCGTCGGCCGCTTGCCAGTAGAAATAAAAGCACAAAAGGGGCTAACGGAGCCCAGCCGTGTGACGAGAGCGAAACCCCTACACTAGCGGTTATCTGCAAACACAATATTCCAACCCTCCAGCAGGCGGTTACTAACCAAACACCGGCATCGGTGGGCAATGGTTAAAGTACTCGTACACTTCGGTTATAAATCTCTCAAACTCACTTTCGGTTTTAGGTCTTACAACCACTCTTCTAGTATCGTTAGCCTAAATTATCCTTGTTCTCTTTTCTTAAACTTACTTACGTTGTGTCTCAAACCTCGTTTTTTTCGCCTCATGAATTCACTCGGGGGAGCACAAGTATGTATATAAGTGCTAAGCCGGTAAGCCCGATTGAGAATACAACATCTACAAGTACTGTGTTTCAGAAAGCCACGATGGCTGGCTCCGCTGCGGATAAGCACTTTCCGTGCTCGGCATGCTTGATTCGGTATTGTGAAGATCGCGACGCAGGACGCGTAACCCACGCGGAGTTGATTACCTGCCAACATAACATCGACACGCCGCAAGGCCGTGTGGGCTTCTGGGAGTGGACTCAGGAGGACTACGAGAACAGCACATTCCGTGCTCGAATGTACTTTGTTGGAGCCTGTGCGGGCTGTGCAGCGGACTTTCAGCAGCTTAAAACCCTTTCCAATGGGTTATCTGATCGCATGAAGATGACCGTCCAAAAGCTGCCTACCATCTATCCGCACTTCGAGAATCAACGAAGCCACGGGGTGGCTGAAACTGTGACGGAACGGCGTTATTTGTTGCCCACACCAGGACCGTTGCTGTGGACCAGCGCTGGTATTAACACCGCCGCGGACACGCCTCGTGAGGCTACGGTGTTGCAGGTTTATACCCCGACTAACCAGGGAGTACAGTATGCCACACAGCGGGCCGCTAGTTACAGCCAGACAGCGACAGCGCCGCAATATCCACCCGCGGACGACCCACTTAACCGTGTCATCCCCCTGGAGGATAAGCAGTGGCGTAACCCAGAGTGGGTTCTGAAAAACCGCTACAACGGTTGGCCACATGGTGCTGTTCGTGGGGAAACCAACTTCAAAAACTATTGCAAATACCGAAAAGCCCTTGTGGGCTATGGCACTGCAGCAGTCACCGCATATGATTTCCTCGTGCAAAAAAATCCGATATTTTGGTAGAGATGCACTGCGCATCGTATGTGAAATGCCAGTCCCGTACGGCTATACCGGGCTGACAGCTCGAGCTAAGGCGCGCTTCTGCCAAATACCGTGTGAAGCCCACTGGGTCACAGGGCTACGATCACCTCAGCCCACTCGGGCTCAGCTGGAAGCCTTCGACAACGCAAAACTGGAACCGGACGCCGCGGTTGATATGGATGACCAGGCGGAAGACATCCAGACGGAGCCCAAGGAAGTCCAGGAGCGGACTCCACCAAGCACAGAGGTGCTAAAACAATCAACTACGCAGGAGTACGACCTGGAAATTGAAGCTGACGAAGAGGAATACAACACCTTCCGTATTAACTAGAAGAGGACGCAGCGGCATCTGCATGTGGAAAGTGGGATTCTGTTCTTTGTTTATTTTTGTTGTTTACTAGAATGATGGTCTGTTTGTACTTTTGCGGTTGAGGGCGGTTGGACGCCCTATTTCTGGAGGGGGGCTATGTCAGGATTGGCTATTGAGTTGTTAGGAGGCGTGTCATAATATAGCCCATAGGGCTACGATTGTATTTAAGCCGGAATCAACGGCTAACGTGGACAGTTGTTGCTTCTTCTTTTTCGATTTCGTTTATATTTTTATGTACACCTGTGGGTGATAGGACGCATTCTGAATAAAAGGTCGTAGAAATCTCCCGTTTGTTCAGTTCCGTCAGTTATTAGTAGCCCCCGGTATTCGTCCCGGGACACGGTCAGGCCCTTTTCCTGACACTAGGCTGTCAGTCGCATCCAGCTGACCCAGGTACTGAAATTCAGAAAGAGTGTTTTAATGGACAGGAACCGAACGAACAATGTACGAACAATGTACACTGACCTTTCAATTTATCACTTTGTTTCGTGTGCTTAATATGTACGAAGTGTACTGGAACTGGTGCATAATGATCGTGGAAAAAACTATTACAAGCCAAAGGAATGGTAATTAATCCGCGCGCTCATTGTACACACAAGGCGGACACAACCGTAAAACGGTTCTCAGGGCCGCCAGTGGGAACGCTGCAATTAGCGCCCTTAAACCTTGAGTGAACCGTGGAACAAAATTACCTTTTAATATTTCTGGAGTTTGTATATATGAAACTATTTAAACCTCATATTTATCCTTACTGAATTTGGATAACGGCGGTTTCGAAATTATTGCGTTGGATGATTGGATCATCTAGTAGATACGTATTATAGCTGAGAATTTTGAAGGAATACCAGATTTTTTCTTGAGTGTCAAAAGCTCTAGCGAAACCATGTAATGTTACTGTTTTTATGCGCTGACCCTGAAATCGATCCGCAGCCCACCAAAGAAACGTTTTTCGCTTCGCTTTGAACTTTAAAAAGAAATTTCCTTCTGATGGTTCATAATCACTTCGAAAGTTGATTTATTTCGCAAGTTTCAATGAATCCGACATGTCGTATAGTTCCGAAATGACTCGTAAACACCGGCGTGATTTCCGCTGCGATCCAAAAATACTCGATCTGAAAAATTAGGTATAGCAATAACGTAAAAGCCTGCTACAATATTTCGAATTGAAACTTCTTCCGTTCCATTTACAATTACTAAAAGACTAAAGGCTGGTTAGATTGCAAGAAGGAGGGTGTGTTTTTCCACTGAGGTAGAGGAGTTTGTATGTTTGAGGTAGAGGAGTTTGATACCGCGTCGCCGTGCGGTATTGTTTCGCCTTGCAGTTAGTAACATAAATTATTTCTCTCAAAAACCATGCAAAACATTTATCAATTTGAGAAGTCGCTTCTTCTATCTGAAAGGACCGGTACAAGTACATCCTTGCGACTACCGACCGCATGAAATTAGAAAAGATAAATAAGTAGCTTGCCACAATGCAGACAGACAAAAATGTCACGGCATCATAGAAATAACTCCACGAGTAAAAAAACTTACAAAACGTATAACATCCCGAAATCGGAAACGCGAGAAGAAAATAGCCTAATTTATAAGTGTTGCGTCAGAGGAAACGGGTTCATTCTTCACATACAGCAACCATGCATTCTCCCCTTGTGGAAATGTGCTGAAACTCAGGTTGTGGTATCTTCGGCACCGACAAAATCGTGTCAACAACTTTGCGGAGCGCTTTGACTCAACGCGCGCATTAACGATCCAAAGTACCGCTACCAGGCACGCATTCATCACATTCCGAACATTGATTTCCACTGGCCAACTCCGCAAATACCAACCGTGCGCCGTCAACGCTGCAGCTGCCTGGGAAAAAATATTTAAGTATATACGTAGGTTATTAAAATTACGGGTGCGTTCATTTTGCTTACCGAACAGACGCACGCAGGGAAAAGCGCACTTACCTGGAAAGCATTCTCCCGAGTAACGATAACACCGGCTAAAGTGAAACCATGCCAGCAAAAATTCCTATGACGAATGCACATCGTTCTCCATTCTTCTCATTTGCACTTGGTTTTCCCCAGGGGTAATGACAAAGCTGCTACTTCAGCGAGTTTATTTCCCTAATATTGAACTTATCACAGTTTTTTTTATAACCACACAGTCAGAATTCAGAAAGTATTTCAAAATGTTATCGAATTATTCGAACCTGTTCAGTGGAGTACACGCAAGCAGCCGTCAAGAGACTCAAGTACCACACGTACGTCACTAAACGCGATGACTAGCTCTGGATCCGGCTGTTGACCCGGCGGATGCCGGCTAGCTTCGAACGTTTTGCCGATTACTCCCACAAAAGCCGCAAAGCAGCGGACACCGGTAATTAAACGCAAACACTTGTCCAATTCACCAACCATGCTGGCAAAATTTGACATATAGACATATTTATCCAGCGTTACATACTCGTTTTGGAGCAACTGCTCGTGGAGATGTAGCGCAGTTGTGCGGGCAATGTTTCCGGTAATCAAGGCGATGAAAACGACAGCGCCGAGAAGAAGATCCCGCCCGAGGAACGTAATATCGCAAACTGTAAAATGGACGCGAAAAGACCATTCCACGACAATGCTGGGAACCGGAACTCGGGAAAAAATGGTGGTATTCCAGTCTTCGATGTTAGGTTGTAGATTCCAGCTAGTCTGCTTGACAGTAAACCAATAAGCGTTTTTAAACATAGCGGTCGCGACATAGACCACCATTCCGGCGACACTGCTCCTGATTTCTTTTTGAGTCAGCAGTGAGCCGTACATTCGGTCCAAATTGCCAATCAGTTGCAAAAGGTGATGACTGCGCGACCACATGAAGAAAATGCACAGTAGATTGGCAATACGCTCTGATGCATCCATCATCTTGATCAAAATGGCGGTGAACCAATTGGATGACTGCGATAAATTGGTATAATACGTCCATTCGTCGTAGAATACATAAGCATTAACGCAGAGAATAAGCGCTATATAAAAGTAAATTACACAGCGCAAGAACGTTGACCATAGCGGACATTTGTTCGACATTATTGGAAAGTATCCGCACATCTGCAGTAACGTCACCCAAGTGGTAGTGGCCTTCCAGATAAAACCCTGAATAATATGCGGGGCTGCCATTCTGTCAACGGCTGTCGTGCAGACTGGTCGTTTATCTGAGCCTTTGCTACGCTACGCTGGCATCACCTATGATTTAGGAACGTTTTTACGCATCAGCATTAGGCAGAACCTCACAGTCAAAGAAGTGAGACATTATGACGAAACATTTGTCAAGGTTCCAAAGCGCCCATTTTTCGATTGCTGCCTGTGTTTTCACTTTGCCGCCGTATTTGTTTTGAATTTGCTGGATCTGCATTTTCCTTGCAATCTTTCCGTATTCTGCGCCCTGACAGGAATGGAAAGCTCTTGCAGCATAGCGGAAGTGAACTTCGTTCACTGCCTTACCAGTGAGGCTGATGTCCCTTGAGGAAATCAACTATTTGAATGCGTAAGGGAAAACGTTTTGAAAAATGTTTCTACAGAAACTGTCGTACACACTTGCTAAAGTACTGTAGTATTACATATTCAAGTTTAGGAGCTCCTGATGGCCCGTCAGCCAAATTCCTCCTTAAAAATTGCGAACTAGAAGTAACGCTAACGCAGGCTAAAAATAAACCATCCAATTCATTCTGCTTCTCAACAGTTCCCAAAACACAAGCAGCATTACCGCGTTGAATTTCTGTACTGTTTAGCTACACTGATATTATCAGTGTAGCTAAACTCATCGGAGCGATTGTCGACGGATACAGTTACTGTTCGCGATGAGCGGCGGAAAACGTCAAGAGGCTCCAAGGGAAACAACTGCCGACTGAGACGCCACCCTCTTGCAAGCGCCGGTACACACTTCTGAAAAGACGAGGCACCATGACGAAATTCAGAGCTTAATGCAATCAGTAGAGCCTGCAGTCGGTCAAAAGATGCTTTCAGGTAGTAAAGATTTCAATAAAATATCACTCGCCGTCGCTTAACCCATTCTTACGAACGGTGTTTTGAATTTCTCAACATTTCGACGTACTACGTAGTACCCAAACAGTTTTTCAAAACATTCCTCTTTACGTGCGACAAACAACTACGAGCACAATTGATTTTCCTAGAAAAAACTCGAATTTTAAACCTTATTAGGAGAACGCTTGATTTTTTGGAAAAAATTTGAATAATATATGTAGGTTCTGAGGCTTTGAGTTCTTACTGGACTTTCGGTATAGCCAAAGGTCATAACTAACCTGGCATCAAGATTCTTGCCACGCTGCCAAACTTCCTTTGTGTTAAAATAACCGCCAAACTCTGTGCGGGAACGAAGCACAGCAAATACCAAAGATAAGCGAAAAATAGGCAGCGAAACAGCGTTGCCCGGTGCACTAGGCGCTGCCGCCCTAGCCACATCCATCTGGATACGTGTCTTTCTAATGGCCAATAATTCGACTGGGATTCCAAGATGTACAGCGCCCTGCAATGCCAGCGGCAAATACCCACCCAGAATGGTAAACAAGGTCAAAAGCCAAAACGCGTCCACACGCAGGTATCCGCAGGTTTTACTAGGTGTGCGGCCATAAAACGCTCCGACGCCCTAGTACACCGGCAGCCGGGAGAGCAGTCCGATCAACCATGTCTATCCGGACGTTCATCGTAGAAAGTAGCAACGCGTAGTAATAACAATTTAGCAGTTTATTTTCTTCCTTTTGGGAAATTCTTTGGCCTTGGAATCCGTAACTGTGACAAAAGTGTTCAACTGTACTGTTTAAAATACTGCCACTGTGTACGTTAAACGATGTAAGAAAGTGGAACGAGAGACTTTCTAGTCGGTCCAACGGAAATTACGGATGATTCTGTGCAGTACTGTATTTGCTGGAATAACCGGCATCTAATCGCGGCTTCTCGGGTTTCTCTATGTGCGGGTGCGCAAGAGAAGCTGGTTAAATGTAACTGCCAGAATCGAATAAGAGAGGCAGTCCATTTCTGAGTAGGAGAACCAGCAACGACGTTTAGAGTTTGTGTGCAGAGTAATGCCAAACTCACAGTAGGAGACAAGACGTATTTCGCAGCGTGTTTGTTGTCTTATAGATACGTCTTTTCAATGAGGTTCTCCACTGACAGGGATGCAGAAGCAGGGGCTGGCTATATATTCATTGGGAAGCGTGCTGCAGTTTATGGAAAAAGCGGGACATTGCGATTAAAACATACCGATTAAGGGCGACGGGTGTCACATTTCCAGATGGGATTACTACTATAATGCATGTTGATAAAATTACGCGATGAGGATAATTCTGGGTGTGTGTCCTGTGGATGCTATTTGCGATCTGCTATTTGCGTAGTCTGCGATTAGAATGGTTAACGGCATGATGACGAACTGTTTTTCACAAAACAGAACTCACAGAGTGACAGATTTAAGTACTGGAAAAAAGAAGATTGGACGGCCGTTTATATCTCTGTTCAGCAACGGGGCTCTGCTTCTTTTACCGTCGCCGGTGTAATCATTACTAGGGAAAGCGCGTTTCGGGTAAAACGCCTGGTGTCCGTAACACCAAGCAAAACATTACGGTTTTTCAGCAGATGGCAAATTGCGAGATCCACTGTAGCTCCTTTGCTGGGCCTAAGCCGTGGTTTAAAGCGCTGATTCAAGTCCAAATTAACACACCTAAATTGTAGAAATGTTAAATAAAATGTAATAGAAGTTCAGTTAATATTAATTAAAGAAATTCGTCCTATATATCGTACTGCTGCATTGAATGTAAATGGAATTTTATTAAAGCTTATTTTATGGCGTTAGCATACATAGAATAAGCTCTGCTGTTTTTTTGTGTTCTCTTTTTAAAGAATCTCTATGTCGCTCACTAATATTTCTAGACTGGTGCTGCTTTGATAAGCGCGCTGCTTGTATTTGCTGAATTGGCCAACGACAGTAAATGCCCAGACTGGGGGTCCAAGTGCTTCAACTGCAGCCAGGTATGTGTGTCTAACAGATTTTTTTGTTACAGTTATCGGTTTTGATCGTCTGATCAAACCAATATCCAACAACAACTGTAAGATGTTTACATTTTACTTCTTATACATTTCATTTATTTGGATTCCTTTACGTCGCACGTGCAAGATGCAGTTATGAATTGCATTACCGTTGTCGGTTATTAAAAATGTATCACATTGCCATAATAGGACACATAATTTGCTGGCATACATCTATGACTTTGCAGACGCTTTAGAAATGGACGCGAAAGTTCAAGGTAATCCCGACGGCGGCAACTGCAACGATACTTCCTTATTCCTTTTTTTTCACATGAATAATGACCTGCCACAACAAAATCGTGCTTAGGTTGCGAGCGTACTGACTACTTTTTGCATAAAATGTGCTGAAATGACCCGATTTGGTGCGGTACATTTTTCACACAACAAATTTTTCGATCTTGGTTTGCTGTGGAACAATATTTTTTATAACATTGCACTCATCCTACGATGATACTCATTGCACTCATCCCTAGCCTGTACGAGCAAACCGCTCTTCAAAATTGATAAACAGCTATGACATTTTCCTACTACAGTAGGCCACTGCAGTGCAAAGAATTCGCAACCGATTTGCATGAGTTCCTGAAACTGAGACAAATGGAGATCTGCGACGTAGGTATTGTACGCGTGAGGCAGAAAGCGACATGCTTATTTCCGGTGGTATGCCAGCACGAGGCGAAAAAAGGCGTTGCATTGACTACGTACTTATGCTAAGGTGATGCACCTTCTAACGTTCTAAAAATCTTTCGGTTAAAGTCCGCATACCACCTTTCACCGTTTTTGGCTCCTGGTACCACCTTTTGTACACCACTTTTGACTCCGCGTACCGCCAAATATTTTTTTTCAATTGCAGTTAGTAATTATATTATTATAAACTTCCGGCTCCTTCATTCTGCCAAACTGATCCTTCGAGGAAAACCCAAAATGTAATTGATCAAGTTAGTTAAGCGAAGCTAATTAAGCCCTTTTCGGGAGCGAAAAATTAAATGTAGGTGTGACCAGCTGGAAACATGTCGGTTAATTACGTGTAATACCACAAATTCGATTTTCGAACAATATCATCATGACATCATCATGCAACACTTTTCGTTGATTATGTCGCAGCGCAATTAAGTTAACTAAAGCACAAGACTCGCTCCACTGCTATAACCTTGCATGCTTGCCAAGAAAAATAATATCAATAAAAAAAATTGTAACGTGCGTATGCGTTATCTTTACAACCCAAGTTAAGCTGTTATAAAATAATTTCCATGATAACATCAAATGACCGTCTCAAAAAAACCTTGCTGATGGTGATGGCATCCGCTGTCCTTTCCGAGCTTTCATCTGCTTGTTCTGTAGTACATGCAGCTCCGTGCTCTGACCTTCCACCATTGAACTACTCAGGGCGCTCAACGTCAGTATGGTCAGCGTCGACACGTCTAGGGCGACCTCTGGATATAACCTCCAGCTGAACTGGTTTCTTAGTTGAGCCGCAGGAATTCGTGGATCGGACCGCTGCAGGTCGTCTAAGATCTGGAAAAATAAATCTGAGTTTCTAAAGCTGAAATACTACCGTATGGCTATGGACAGAACCCTGTACGAAAAAACCTTTCAAAGCACTTTAAAATGCTTCAGTGCCATGTTGATGCCCCAAAGTGCACAAACGTAACAGTTCAATGAGCTAGGTGGCAGGCGTCTATATAATTTTTCAAGAATACCTTTTTGATATGCTTTTTGGTTATATAGGAAGCCTCACGTATCCACCAATCAAGAACATCAGAGTCGGCTGCCGAAGCCGCTAGACTTGCTTCCACCATGCTCCACAAATCACACAGCAGACTGTATTCACTGGATGATTTCAAATCAAGCTTGCCAGAAAATCGTTTTCCATCTAGATTATATGGGTACGATGCCGAAAAAGCGCAGTTTCTCCACAATAGATGGTCGATCGCAACCGCAGCATCAACGCAAGGGGAGATGATATTCGCAATTTCCTTGCCAAATGTCGTTACCGTGTCCCAAACGAATTTTTCGATAACCACCACCAGCTTCTTTCCTGGCTCTAGGGGCAAGGTTTTTTTTAAAGCGCCAATCCATCGCAAACAGTCTTGTAAACTGTTGTGAGTGGCATTCAATATGATGATGCGTTCCGTTGTCACCGTCATGCATTTGACCAAACACTGACCGGCCAATAGCGCTGCTTTATTTGTTGCTACCTTCGTGCCACTGGCACCAAATGACAGCCGAACTTCTTTGGAGGGCTCTTGCTGATTTATTAAAGTATTCCACACACGGCACACACGACGGTATTGCATGCGGGGAACGGTGTCAAAAAACTGGAAAACTTGTTCAAGGATGCCAAATGACAGCAGCTGAAAATCGGCTGAATTTTGTTTTATCGCGAGACTTCGGAAGGTTTCGTCCATAACCTCTGTCAGCGGCAGCCAATGCGTGCCAGAAAACGTCAGCCCATCGGAAAGCCGCTTTTTCAGTATTTCCCTAGCACTTGCCAAACTCCGAGCCTACAATGAAAGCTTAAAAAGTACTTTGAGGGGACAGTTAGATGCGTTATTTTCGACTCATCTTGTACAAACAACTGAAACAAGTGATCCTCCATGTACCCGGGAGACTGATTTAACTTCAAAAATTCAAGAAATATTCGATTTTCCGCTGAATCTTCTCTAAATAAAGTGAATTATTTTGTGAATTTGTTTCCTTTAGACATCATCTTAATGAACAAAGAGCTTCGTGAGCAGTCAGCGAAAAAATTTCCGTCGCGGACTCGTGTGCTGAACTTTACAGAATAAAGGCGTAAGTTTTAGCAAAGAATAACTTTTTGCTTCCAGCAAAAAAAACCTAAAGAAAGGGTTTTAGGCGCGTACGTTTGCTGCTCGTTTGTAGTGAGTACTGAGTACACTACTGTACAGTATAATGTATGCATTCGGGCTATCTATAAGGTTTACTATAATTTTAAACAAACACTTCAAAACAGGTGAAAGATAAATTTAGGGATGTGGCCCGGTACATGGTACCGAATTCGTGTACGAAATCTATCACCTTTGCGCACTCTGAAACCCTTTTTTCTCTTATTTTATAACATACTATAGCCCAACGATTTGTGTACACAGGCGTGAAATTTGTTTTTTCGCGCGCAACATCCGGTTGCGCAGTTGTAATGGTCACAAAATTCCACAATGTTTAAAAGCATTTAGTTTGAAAGTGCAAAGTTTGAAAGAGATCAGTCCAAAATGATACTGTTAGTAGACCTGAATGCATTTAAACTTTGTGGAATTTTGTCACCCTTACAACTTCGCAACCGGATGTTGCGAGCGAAAACAGACTTCACGCCTATTTACACAAATC